TATAATGCTTTTAGTGGACATATCGAGGAAATAGATAAAATCGGGAATCTTTGAAGGACATATAATATGAGAAAGGACTTTGCGCAACGTTTCAGGTTAGCTTTATAGTGCTTTTAGTGGACATATGGAGGAAACGGGCAAACTCGGAAACTCTTGAAAGGCACTTGACCTGGGATAGGACTTGTCATGACTTTTCAAGTTGGTGTTATAATGCTTTTAGTGGACATATCGAGGAAACGTATAAAATCGGGAATCTTTGAAGGAAATAAAACATGAGATAGGACTTGTCATGACTTTTCAGGTTAGCTTTATAGTGCTTTTAGTGGACATACGGAGGAAACGGACAAACTCGGAAATTCTTGACGGGCATTTGACCTGGGATAGGACTTGTCATGACTTTTCAAGTTGGCTTTATAACGCTTTTAGTGGACATATCGAGTAAACGGATAAAATCGGCAACCTTTGAAGGACATATAACATGAGATAGAACTTTGCGCAACGTTTCAGGTTTGCTTTATAGTGCTTTTAGTGGACATACGGAGGAAACGGACAAACTCGGAAATTCTTGAAGGGCACTTGACCTCGGATAGGACTTGTCATGCCTTTTCACGTTGGCTTTATAATGCTTTTAGTGGACATATCGAGGAAGCGGATAAAATCGGGAACCTTTAAAGGACATATAACATGAGATAGGACTTGTCATGACTTTTCATATTAGCTTTATAGTGCTTTTAGTGGACATACGGAGGAAACGGACAAAATACGAAACTCTTGAAGGGCACCTGACCTGGGATAGGACTTGTCATGACTTTTCAGGTTGGCTTTATAATGCTTTTAGTGGACATATCGAGGAAATAGATAAAATCGGGAACCTTTGAAGGACATATAACATGAGATAGGACTTTGCGCAACGTTTCAGATTAGTTTTATAATGCGTTTAATGGACATATGGAGGAAACGGACAAAATCGGGAACCCTTGAAGGACATAGAACATAAGATAGGACTTTGCGCAACGTTTCAGGTTAGCTCGATAGCGCTTTTAGTTGACATATGGAGGAAACGGACAAAATCGGAAATTCTTGAAGCGCACTTGACTTGAGATAAGATTTGTCATGACTTTTCAGATTGGCTTTATAATGCTTTTAGTGGACATACGGAGGAAACGGACAAAAAACGAAACTCTTGAAGGGCACTTGACCTGGGATAAGGATAGGACTTGTTATGACTTTTCAGGTTGGCTTTATAATGTTTTTAGTGGACATACGGAGCAAACGGACAAAATCGGAAACTCTTAAAGGGCACTTGACCTGGGATACGACTTATCATGACTTTTCAGGTTAGCTTTATAATGCTTGTAGTGGACATATCAAGGAAACGGATACAATCGGGAACCTTTGAAGGACTTGTAATATGAGATAGGACTTTGCGCAAGATGCCATGCGACCAACTCTTGCAGATCCTATCTCATGTGGCCAGCCAACCTCCAGCGAGCTTAGTGTAAAGATCCGAGTGAATGTTCCAATGTAGACATATTTAGACATAGTTTGGGCTCTGAAGTGGCCCCAGACCACATGAGATAGGAAAGTTTACGGATACGTTTTTTTCAATGTTTTGGGCACATGAGATGTGCCAACCTCAACCTGTGGGTGCGTTTCACTACCCTCATTTCATCTCCAAGTCGTATATTATTTATTATTTGCCGTTTGCCCTATATTCCTTGTTGTTTAGTGTTGTTGTTGCTCGTTGTTTAGTGCTAATTAGTGTTGTTGTCTACGATATTATATTATTATCAATATTTCAAAAAAAAAATATCCTATCCTTTGCATATATAATTTTATAAAATCCTTATTATTGTTATTAAAGGTAATAAATCAATTATATTTTGAAATTAAATTTGTTGCAAATCGTTAAATTCCCAATTCACTCCTATATACTAAATAATATCTATATTTCAGAGGGGAGGAGACGAAAATCAATCTCTGGTTTAGGGGGTACTTTTAGAGTAGGTATGCTGTCGCAGCTGCCCCGGATAACAACGCATAACCGTTATTATCTTCAAATTCTCATCCAAGGAGCTTCCTGCCAATCGTTCGTACTCGCCGACCAGCTTCTCGTACTTCATGATCCCCTCCAGGATCTTACCCTTCTCGAATTCAAAATCTTGCCCTTCTCGAATTGCGGAAAGGCCACCAATGCCTAGACGATTCCAAGCCTCTTTGCCTTAGAAAACCCTTGCCAGGCTCGAAAACCATCAGTGTCCGTGACACTCCGGACGATCCGAACTAGTCGCCCCTCACAAAGCTGACCAAATATACATACAATTTCTTTGCTCTCTTCTGAATTTCCTCCTTGTAGTCGTTCAACTTCAGGTCCTGCTCCAAGTCCCTCTCCACGTGTTCCAAATCGTCCATGGATTCCTCCTCAGTAAAGGCCAAGTAGCTCTCGAAGAGGAACGACCATTCAGGCCATGCGGATCGCTCCCCACCGACAAGTGCTAGAAACCATTAATCAAGGTCCTAAAATCAACCTTGTTATTGTCCCTTTTTCTTTCCTTCTTGCCAAGCTTCTAGAGAATCTAAGCATAAATTCGCGTAAATCCATAGAATTCAATCACAACTTACTCCATCTTCTTAAGCCTTCAACCTCCTCTACCACCAGGTAGAAGTAGCCACTAATACAGATTGTTCTGCCACCAGCTACGCTACTATAAAGCTGCCAGTTATTCTACCCACCAGCTACGCTATTATAATACTACCAGCTAATCTGCCCACCAATTATTATGGCTCGTAAATAAGGCTAAAGATCGAATCCTATCCTCTTCAAATGGGATTAAGTCCTATCCCTAAAGCTCCCCTAAAACTAATTAAAATCAAAATCCTAGCTCCGCTACCATCTAACACTTCCCACTCTTTTCTCTTAAGCGGTTACGGCCTATAAAGACCAAGTATTATCATTTCGACATGTAACTTATTCATAAAGATACTAGAATAAATATTTCATGTGAAAAGTGTTACATAAATAAATATAAAATCGTAATATCATTTATCATATCAATATAATTCTCCAATTTATCACATTAAATAAAATAGAAATATAATCCTCGATCATAATCCATATTCAAAAAGAATATAATCATAAAAAGATATAATATAGATAAAAATATGAATCCATTCGTATTAATTCTCTTTCTCTCTCCTCTCTTTCTTATTTTCGCTCATTTACACCCACTCACTCACAATCACTAACACTCACTCTCTCGTTTGGGCCTCATCATATTTATTTTATCGTATCGAATTTCCGACAGGACGTATGCAATGGGCCGAAGGGTTACCATTTCTTAAAATGTTATAGAGATTCTTAATAATGTATATATATATATAGATCCGTTGTTTGAAGGAAAAATATATATATATCTAAATAAATTTAAATGTATGTTTACTTGAATAAATTCAACATTGATTGTAATCTCAAAAATTGTTAAATTTATATATTTTTGTCGTTCCGGATTTGAAAATAGCGAAAATTGTTTTGATGAAATCCGGAAATCGAAAATCAAGTTATTTCTTGATGGCTCGCATCATCCCATAAACCATGAGCCCATCAACCATTGATTTGTGGTACTTTTCGAGCGTGTATACCTGACAGTTCGTTCAAAGAAATACAGTATCAAACCGTGGATGGAGTTCATGGCTCCTAACAGAAATTCGATGTTGTGGCAGCAGCACACCTCCCGAAGAAAGCCGATGAAAGCAGCTGGCTTCCTCAATTGTGCCCACTGAATGGCTTGTTCTGTCTGATTCTCACCGATCCCTGGTTGGCCACTGCCCGTCCTCAAAGTAACCTTTATCCAGTACCAAGGTGACCACACGCCGACCTTGATGGTGCGAGGTTGAAAGCAGCTTGCTGCTTTCAATTTTCACTCGTCTCCCTCAAACTAGCATTGTATTGCTTGATCATGCGACAGGGAGTGTCATGTTTGAAATTGATATTCTTGGGGCATCTGCCCACACTGAGTGTCGCCAAGATGGCAAGGTCTGATCGGTCCAGTCTGCGGTTTCAACCTGCCATCGTTCGGCTCGCAGTTGTCCGACGTTCGCGACTCGGCAGCTCGAGATCAAGTGCCTTCTCCAGCAACTCAGTGCCCTCAAGATACTCCTCGACAAATACAAAGCTTCAAAGCTTGGGCATTCATGCTGTGAAGGAAATCGTTGCAGCTCTCCTTGTACTTGCTGAGGGAAATGAAGAAGGGATGTGACCACTCCTCGGAATACAACCATGCTACCGTGCCGCAGAACCTGTCGTGGTGTCAAAACCTGAAGGTTGTCTTGAATGCTGGGGTTACTCGGTACCCTCAGCTCCTGCAAATCAGTCTTGCATATATCCGACATGATCAAAGTCAAGCACTGTACTTCTTGCTTAGGTCGTTTTGTGCCCACCTGGTGTTAATTCAGTGATTTCTATTCTTGGAGCTGGAAAAAGAGTCCAATTGGATCCGGGAGTCGGCATAGAGGAAGTTCAGCGTTTTGCGCTCTTCTGCTGTAAATATTGGCACCTCGGAGACTCGCCCTATGGGGTTTGCTGACGTTTGGCATCTTGGCATATTTATCGTACGCCGCTTCTTGCATACATAGCTTGGCACATATTTTCAGAGCTTGATACTGATCATAGATGGAGTCTCTAAGGTATCTTGAGCGCACCTGAGGCTCTCTAGACTTTTGATGTATGCATGTCACACATTCAAGCTCTGCTGCACCTCTGCCTGCCTGCACAGGTTTGTATGTTCACACATGTTTGACATCAGTCCTGGCTAAACAAGCACTGATGTACAGTGCTTGGAAGCTGCTCTCCAGCAGCTCTCTACCCTAGTTTTCTTCGCAGCTTGGATCCCTGCTGGATCTCGCTCACACCAAGTCGCCACAACCAGGTTTCCTGGAGCACAAACTGGCCAGAATGAAACAATGCAAACTAAAACCCTTGCGAAATGCAAAGAAAATGCCTAAACACAAAAAACTATAGGTACAAAGAAAAACACACAAAATGCCCAGAGCTTGTGCATGGCTCCTTTGGGCTTCAGAACCCTGGACATCTCTTCGACATACCTCCACAGTGAAGAATTTAGCGAGGCACAGTGGCGCACGCACCCCACATCATCTGGGGTTGGCTCAAAATATTTGGCCTGCAACCACACTGTCTGGTATTATTTCTTTCACTGCCAGTGGGGAACACTATGAGCTTTTGGGATCCAGCACCACTTTTGAGCCACACACAAAGGCAGTCCAGCACCTCTTCTTGTCAGGCATGTGCTCTCCAGACTCGCAACCCCAAACTAGGTCGAAGGTGTTGCTTTCAAACCTCGGCGCTGATGATTCAGATTGCTTGAAAGGCTTTAAAGAGTCAAACAACAGGTTTTGACAGGAGATACAACGTGCAAAGCTGCAAGTTCTTTTCCAAACGTGTTGCTTCAAGCTTCTTCAACAGCAAATAATTTAAACAAAATATTCAAAGATTCCATATGATCTTCAAAGCCTTGGTGCCATGACCCCGCTTTTGCCCCCTTTCAGATCCCAGCTCCATATTCAATGCATCCATGACCTGGAAGCGCACGTTGGACAAGCCGGCTTCCTCTGCGAGGCGGCCAGCTCTCTGCGCCTGGCGTGGCACTAATCCATGGTCAGGTGAAGCCTCTTACAGTAAGTCCCTAGATGAGCCATGGTCAAAATTCATAAGTTGTTTCCCAGAGAAAAACAAAAATGCACTTTGGGTGAGAAACCACAAAGGTTTGGTAAGTGTACCCATGCAGATCTCCCGGTATCTCAACAAAATCCCCCAAAATCAGAGGGATCCACCGGAGCACAGCGCAGGCCGGGAAAGCGCGTGGCCTGCTCGGGTGAAAGCGTGATACCGATCACCTCGGCATTGGGAAAGCGCTTGCCAAGGATCCTCAGACAGGATGCAAAGCGAACAGAATACAGAACTGCGGAGATAGGTGGCATGATTTGCAAGGAGAAGTTGAAAAAAACTGGGCTTTTACAAGATCAGATTTGTATATATATATATATATATTTGTACATATACATCTTGTTGTAACTTTAGGCATGGCAACACGCCTCGATGAGCCACCAATACCACAGCCTCAGGGTGCAGCAGCAATGTTGTTGTATCATGTTGTATCCCAAAACTGGAGAAAGATCTACTCTCGTCGTCCGAATATGGGTTCTGTGGCACAACAGCAACCGGCAACACTAGACAGGCCCCAGCCAACATCCAGAATCTTCTTGGGATCTGTTGCACCTCAGATTCAGATCGAAGCACCAGAATGAGACATATATAATATATACTATTGTGGCATGGCTAGGGTATTATTCAGTCACTCCTTTTTGAGGTCATCTTAACACTGTCGAACAAGAACTTCTCAATTTTTTGGAAACAGGGGCAAAACCCATCCCAATCACGGTGTCCCTCCAGGCACTTTGCGCTCAAGAATCAGAAAGTACCTCTGTAACGACGAACCCTGTACTTCGATGTCTTGGTACTCAAAGTGAAAGTTTGGGAAAAGTGATTAAGAATACCTGCTTTGTTGCCTGTTCTTTCTACCCATTTCACTTGTGTATCACATAACAAAGGACCTCAGCCTCATTGCTCGTAGCACTGCCGTCGGTTTTGCCCTCGTGCTCGAGCCATGACATTGGGGAAGTTCGGAAATTATTTGCTTTCTTCACCACAGAAGTCAATGCACTGCTCCTTTCAGATCGTCCAGCGAATGTAGGAGTCCACGCATCACTTGGGCCACCTGAAGGCCGTCAAGCGGGTTTCCAGTTCCATATTGAAACACATTCATGACCAGCACTTGTACCATAACATGTTTAAGCTGCCATTGAGCAGCTCACTGCGACATCGTCACAGTGGCTCGGGCTTCCGCTTCCACTGAGCCAACACACCCGGAAGAACGAGGCTCCTTGTGGCCCCACTCGACCAGCTCTAAACATCCAACCAGGCGTTTTTCTGGCCGCACAACACGTGCGTCTGACTGCAGGCATGTACTCAACAAACAGAAACAGGGCGGAGTGATGTTGCACACCCACCAGCTGTGGTGGGAGCAACAGCTGTGGTGGGAGCATGAGGGAGCGCGCGGAATCCAGCTGCTCTAGCTGGGACTGCGTATTTACAAGCTAGATACACCAATATGATAGATAATGACAGATACGTGTTTCAGTCACGCAGCATCCATGAGTGGTGACCTGTTCAGCTTGTTGGATCTCGGCTTCTGCTGGCTCTTCTTGATGGTGTTCAACTTGTACTGAGGTCAAGTGGCTCTCAAGATTCCATGTAAGAGCTATCGTGGCCAGCGTACTGGCCTTGTACAAGTTGCGGATCATGCGGCGCGAAGGGAACCAGCCTGAGGTGTATTGCCTGCAGATCTGGCAACGATATCTACGGCCACTTTCAAGTGTCTGTGAGATCGCAAGGGGGGTGCACCCAGAAGTAGAAACTACACCAAACAGGGAAGACAAGGCAAAAGCCAACAGCGAAAGCTGTGTGTATCCTGCCGGGGTGTACAAGCAGCTTCATAAAATCGACCTCGAAAAGCTTTCGCTGCGTGTTTTCCTGCTTGAACAAAAGTGATGTCCGGTTTGGTGCGCCGCGCCTGAGAATTTGGCATCATCAAAGATTATCAAAGATTCACAAAGAATGTGAGTGGTGCGGTAGTCTGTTTGGCCATTTGCTACTTAACAGGTTCCAAACTATGAAGTTCTTGTGCTTTAGAGGAGGTAGTTACTTGGTTCGTGGACTCACATCTTCATGTTCCACCTTCCAGACTTGGCCACGAACTCGGGCCCAACCTAGGGGAACTAAGTCACTTCGTCGACGGCCAATCCGGTCTGTATCACCATGGCACGGCTAAAGTCGATCATGTCATGCACAAAGTCAATTTTTGCCTAGCACAGAGACAGAGTGTACGAAACTCAGCAGCCCAATGCAAGCATCTTGCTTTCTCATTCAATCCAGAATCAACAGTTGGGGAATCCTGAACATACACCAGAATTCCTGCATACTCTCACATCGGTATCAAGCTACCAAGTTCAATCTGTTCAGCAGGAGGTGTTGCAATCAGAATTCAACAAGGCGAACAGAGATGTCAAAAACAAGTGGTTTGGACCACTGCCTGCTTGAAGTTCTTCAAGCGTCCAACGGTGGCACGGAACAGGGCGATGAAAAAGGGATCCTCGCGGACGTGGCGACTGTGGAGCTAAGTGATCCTTGCCCCAACTGTGGAGCTAAGCACTGTGGTGCTTCTATCCACAACGTTCCATCTTGGTTGGAAACAAAAGTTGCCGTGGTACAATAGTACCGCTGTGACTGTGATGTTGCTTGTACAGTAGTAGTGCTCTCCAACCACGTGAAAAATATCTGAACCCAAACCTTCTTGCGATAACCACTTTGCTTGTCCATTGGATGGTAGGTGCCTCAGGCAAACAAATTGACGAAATGGGAAGCAAAGCCAACGGTGCCTCGCTACAGCGACTTTCGTTGTGTTGGTCTGCAAAGAATGAAACGCGTGGTGGGTGTCAAGAATTGACATCGCCTAGCTGGGCTACTGCACTGGCTGCAGTTTCTATCAATTGAGGCTGAGACCCATGTGGATGTGCTCTCCCCAGTAGTGTTCCAAAACCTTGGCTGAAGTCAAACAAACCACGGATCCATTGGAGCCAAGCTTTTTGAGCCAAACTTTGAGCCCATCACCCCATCTCGTGCCCACTCGTCATAGGCACTTTTCACCGAGCCCTCATCATATGGCCTCTTGGGTGTCTCGAACCTTGGGTTGGAGTGAGAAACAAAGGGCAAAGAAATACTCATCCCAAATATACACGTGAATCATCTTAGAAGGGCATTGAACATCAGTTCTTTCAGCGAGTTCTACCTATATATATATATTATATATCTAGTTTGGAATCTCTCCAACGCACCTCGAAGGTCCTGCAGATTTCATGCGGGCAAAGCCGTTCCAATCCCTGCCCATCACTTCAGCAAAGTTGCCAGCGGTGTATTCTGGAGGCCAGCACCTGCAATATTCAACCAGTTTTCAGGGCCCTCACAATGTATTTCTTGCTCCACCAGCAGGATGCCCAGCAAGCAAGGAAATCTCCAAATCACGCGCGCCTTCAAAAGGCCCAGGGATGCCACACCAGCACCAATTTGAGCCAGCGCCATCGACTGCACCTGAAGAACAACTCCCACGCCTCCGCCACCCAGGCCCAGTTCCTCCTACGATGTATCCTCTTTAGGTCCTTGTTCATGTGTTTTGTTGAAAAAGGGCCGGACGCCACTGCGGGGAGTGCTCTCCTGAATTTGACACAGCAAGGGCTTCAAAGAAAAGTAATGAGTGTAGGAGTGTTTACAGAAAAGTTCAGGAAAGCATCTACAGGTTCTCAGAGTCAAGTGCAGCGAAGGTCGAGAAACTAAATCAAACTAAATCGAGCAAAATAGAGATTGCCAAGAAAGGTGCATCACATAGAGAGGAGATGTCAAAAAGAATGCAGCAATGTCTAAAGTCTAGATAGCTAGGCAATGAGGAACAAGAGCAGAAGAGTCTAGAGGTAGATCACAGGTCACACTACATCACAGCATTAGGTTTCATCACATCATTTGCGTTCGTTTGCCACATTGCACTTCAATGAGTCATAAATCCCGACACACGTCCACACACCGGGTGTGGCTAGAATCAAAAGTTGGGAAGAGGCTAACTTTGGATTTGAGCCTTTTCTGAGGCTTGGCTGGTCCAGGCTTTTTTGTTTGGATTCACTTCCAAGTTGATACCCTGGTTGTGGAATGAGACTGTGCAAAGTATCGGCTCTAGTTTTGAGCTCGTCGATGTAAGATCCAAAACTAAAAGGGTCTTAAATGTGGAGTTATGCTCTTTTCTATCGTTCCGCCTTAATCCGTTTGGGCTCCGCCTTCACTTTGGCCCGGCTTTCAGCCAGAGGCGCTGTTGCTTCAAATTGATTGTTGCCAACGTGGCATATTACAATTTCTTTTCCCCAACCTTTTGGGGCAATGGTAGGGGGTGGGGTGAAACGACGTTCTGATTCAACTTCGGAATCTGAGAGGACACGTACTGGTGTCAAAAGGAGACAAGCTGCCGCTTGAAGGGTGAGTTCATCACCCCAAGTCGAGGGCCTGCTCATGTTTTGCAGGTAAGCCTAGTGACCTAGTGCATGCCAAAGAAATCGTACCAAGCCGCAGACAAAAGACAAAAGCAGGTCCACATGTCCAGCACATTTTTTCTGCCAGAGTGAAATCTGAAGTCAAGTTGAGCAACATAAATGTTTATGGACAAATTAGAGTGAAGCTGACCAAATGACAACGACCAAAGCAATAAAATCTGAAGCGAGGCCGCACAAACAATTCTTTGCGCCCTATTGAATCTGCAGTGAAGCCGCTGAAAGACTTAGAGGAAACCAAAGAGTTACCTTCAGAGTCAAGTCACAGCAAACATGTGAACATGTGGAAAAAGTTAATGAACTCCAGATCTGAGATGGACATGAACAAACAATGAATAGAGGTGAGATCAAATGCGTTCTTTTTCGCCTTCACCTCTTTACACCATGCTCAACTCTTGAGTCAACAGAGTTTTTCGCCAGAAGGTATCTGTCTCAACCATCGTGTCAGATTAAAGGCTTGGAGTTGACTCATTGGTAACTCTTGTTTCCAGCTTGATTGTCTGATTGTCCACACATCACCACATAAGCAAGAGTCACATTTGACCACCGCAGAAATCATTTCCCTCGCATCGCTTCATCACACTGCACGTCACTGTTCTACTACAGGTCTGCCAAGTTATTAGGCGGAAAAAAGATCGTAGTCTTGTCGGCCCTCCAGGGTTCGCAGGCGAAGAAGACGTGACTCTGTTTGCTCTTCAGCAGGTCCCACCCGAAACGATGTTCAAAACTTGTAGCGGTCACTGAACACTTCTGATGTTCATACGAATTCAATGTATGACTTGTATAGCTTTGGCAGATGTGGGAACTTCCCAAAAGAACAGGACCAAGGAGGTCGAAACGCCATGGTTTGCAGGGGGTATCTAGTTGTCACACCCATTTGCCCTGTCCTTGCAAGCCTTGCCATGAGCAAGTTCACCTCAATGGCAATGACAGTCGGACAAGGGCACATGGCAGTCTGCAACCACATCTTCATGAACATCATCAGCACAGATTGCCAGTAATTTCAAAGACTTCTATCAATCATGATTCAGGAGTCAGGATGCTAGAACAATCCGCCGGCCTGCCGGCGTGTTTTGTGGATTGTTTTGGTTAGTATTGCTTGTGTTGGCTTCAACCTACGGTTTGTATCTCCGCGCGGATTTTTCGACAGCCTGACCGGCCTGACGCCCCCCCCCCCCCCCCCCCCTCCACCCCCCCCTCTCTACGTCTAAGGTGATTGGACTGAGACATGTCGATCGCTGGATCAGAATAGACAACCATTGGACTGAGACATGTCCATCGCTGGATCAGAATAGACAACCTCTGATTCGGATTCGTTCGATTTCATTGTAAAACGACTTCGCTTGAAATCAACATCAACAAACTCTCCCAGCAAAATGTGCCACTCCAATGCACCCACAAGTCTGATTGAGCAGGGTATTGTTGTTCGATGTCATTCTGGGTCTTTCATTTCAAACGGTTTGGAGAAAAAAACGACAAATCATGCCAGATCTAGAAATTCTTCGGTCGCTTTGA